CAAACCAAAAGTCTGGACTTAAGTTTCATTGCTCTGACACTGTAATAGGAAACATCAAGTGGGATACTGTATATGTGAAAGATCACAGTATTTGGAACATCTTTTATTCTAGTTAATTGGAAAATTGTTGAATTCATTTACAGTGATATTAAGTGACTACAACACTTACTGTTTTGGTGTAACAAAATTTTTACTTTTGAAGCAGCCATTTATGTTGATTTTTGACCTGTTGGCTAAAATCAAGCATCAAAACAACGATTTTGAGCCAGGCGATGGTGGCACACACCTTTAATCCCAGTACTTGGGAGGCAGAGACAGGCAGATCTCTGAGTTTGAGGTTAGTCTGGTCTACAAATCGAGTTCCAGGATAGCCAGAACTATAACAGAGAAACCTGTCTCTAATAATAATAATAATAATAATAATAGAAGTAGTAGTAGTAGTAGTAATAAACAACAACAACAACAACAAAAGACCCAAAACAAAAAGCCAACTATTTTGTTTTATTCATGGCTTCTATAGGTCAGGAATTCAGTCAAGATATCACAGAGATGACTGACTATTTTTGAAGTCATGGGTCTTGTCCCTCAACAATGGATTGGCTACAGATTGGGACTTGTGCTTTATGGGGGCTTGGTTTTGTTGCTGTGTGTTTTTGTTTGTTTGTTTGTTTTCTTACAAGGAACATTGTCAGGATAGCCAGATGATTTTGCAGTAGTTCAGGACTCTAAACAGGAGGGTTCTGTTGAATAAGGTGGACACGGTACTGCCTTATTGCTCTTCTTAGCATCATGTCCAAGAACTGCTGGTTGGCGTAGTCACAAGGCTATGCCTGTGCAAGCAGAGTGGTCACGGCCCCCCATGTCTCCAAGCAAAGTGTCAACAAGAGGTAAATCACATCTGATAGTGGAAATATGGGTTGATTTAAGTTGTAAGATCTAGTTAGTAACAAGCCTAAGCTATTGGCTGAGCATTTATAATTTATGTGAAGCCTCTGTGTGGTTATTTGGGAGCTGGCCAGCGGTTCCCAACAGAAAAACTCTGCCCACAACAACCAGACACTTCTTTGTCTTCTCAGTTACTCTTGTTGTTTTTTTAGACACACTCAAGCCAGGTTTCACCTTTTCAGTGCCTCAGACCTGATGCAGACAAGGTCAGTCCTTACATGTCAGCTGTGATCTACCGACCTCCTAACTGGCTTACCTGCTTTTCATTTGCATCTCTCCCACTGTTCTAAGCACACACCAAAGCAATCCTTTAATACCTGGTCCAGTGCATCTCATTCTCCACTCAATAAATTCAAAATAAAAGCTGAAATTCTTTTTTTTTTCTCCCCGAGGCAGGGTTTCTCTGTGGCTTTGGAGGCTGCCCTGGAACTAGCTAGCTCTTGTAGATCAGGCTGGTCTCGAACTCACAGAGATCCGCCTGCCTCTGCCTCCCGAGTGCTGGGATTAAAGGGGTGCGCCACCACCGCCTGGCGAAAAGCTGAATTCTGTGTCGTGAAGAGGTTGAGCCCTGGAGGCTTCACTGCTGCTGATTTCTCAAGGCAGAGCCACGCAGACACACGGGCTTCCCAGGTGCTGTTCATTTCACCTGTATGCGCTTCGCCTCCAAACAGTTTTCCCTTGCACCCCTCTCTGGTTTTCAGTGGGTGCTGGGGACTAAACCCAGAGTTAGTCACAACCAAAACCACCGAGCTGCCTTAGGTCATTTCTGCACTCATCTTTAGCTCAGAAAGTAAAGGATGTAACCCGAGGGACATTGACCTCTGTTTATTTGCCTACCCTGATCTAATGTTTGTCGAGCGACTGGAAGAATGGCTTTGCGTCTTAGCCTTTGCATTTTTTTCACTCCGCTGTACTGCTTTTGGCCTGGAATCTCACTGGAAGGGTACTCGTTCCTCTAGACTCATCTCCTCCAACCCAGCGGTCTTTCTTCTCTGTCACCCGCGCTAGTATTTTTGTCTCATTAAACTTTGTATTAATGGGTATCATAGTTCTGGGACAGGTTTTTGGCCAGCTTGTTTTCATTGAACTATTAAGGGTCTGGCGACACGATGGCTCAGTGGTTAAAAGTGCACCCTGGGTGGCTTACAATCACCTGCAAATCAAGCCCCAGCGTAGTAGACAGCTGTAGTAGCCACACATTGCGGTGCCAATCGGTAGCAAGCTGTCTTGTTGGGGCTTTAGTCAGATCCACTCGACTCGCCTGGTTCATGCCTGGATGAATCCAGGCAGTCAAGCGGCGAACATATCTGCCTCCACCGATGGGCCGCTTTTCCTGGTACTGAAACAGGAGGGAAGCTGAGGGAAATTGCGGAGACATGGAAAGGAGACCCTCATTCCAGAGTCTGGTTGAAGCTTCCCACTGGCTGAGAGTCAAGAATTTCAACAAAATTAACAACATTTGCTCAAGGTCTTTCCCCTTCCTCAGCTACAAGCATACAACTCTCTTGGGACCTCGTTAGGTCGTTTACATTAGATGATGTTCAAAATTTTGCATGGAAACCCCCAGCGACTCCCCGATTTTCTCTTATCAAATAATAATCCTATTTATGTCACTACCAGAGCCACCCTATACCATTATTTATCAAAAAAGAAAAAAATAGTTTCTTAGCAACTCTTTGCCAAGACACTTAGCTATGACTGCCCCTTGATAACCACACCCACCCTTGGATAAATATCTTAGTCTTTCCCTGAGCTTTCCTTTTCCCAACACTTGGGAGGCCGAGGCAGGCAGATCTCTGTGAATTGAGGCCAAGCTTGTTTGTGTATCAAGTTTCAAGCCAGCCAGGGCTACATACTAAAAACCTGTTTCAAAAAAAAAATGGCTGGAAAGATTCCTCAATGGATAAAGTCCCCTACTGCCAAGTCTGGAGGCCTGAATTTGATACCTGGGGCCTGCATGTTAGAAGGAGAGACCTTCACATGCATACCATGGTTAGTAGGTGTTCACCTATATGTGCAAAGTAAATAAATAAAAATGTTATAATTACTTTTTTCAAGACAGGGTTTCTCTGTGTAGCCTTGGCCATCCAGCCAGGCTGGTCTCCAACTCACAGAGATCTGTCTGTCTCTGCCTCCCAAGTGCCGGGATTAAAGCCATACACTGCCACTGCCAGCTATTTTTTTTTAAGTCTTTTTATTAAACTAGAACTCTTCCGTGAGAAGACCACATATACACTCTTAGGTGTGCTTCCTTTTCTTTCCTGCAATGACTTTCTATTTTTTAATAAAACCCAGCTCTGCTTCATACTGGCTTGTCCTGAAATTACTTTTTCCTTCCGGAACCTAGGATCTGGTTTTACTTGAACAGAGGGTTTAAACAGTTAAGGGAATTCTTCAGGCTTCCTCGGGTGACAGTGTGGACCCGTGGGCCTCTATTCCTGCTGCCAACAATAACATTGCCGCAATGAACGTCTTTGACAGACATGCTCTTGACACTGGAGCGTATTTGTTCTCAAGCAGATCTTCACCTGAAGCTTCATGGTGCATCTCAACAGACTTTCACTCGTGACATTGTTTGGAGCAAAGTAGCAAAGCTCTGCTGAGTTTGAGAGGGTCGTTGGTCTCTGTGTGGTCTGTAGGGATTGGAAGGACAGCACCAGTTTGTAAAGTGTGGAGGGACAGATTCAAAGGCTTAAAAGTTGGGGTGAGCCGATGTTTAACTGACAGCTTCATGCAATGGGAGCCCACTGGCATTGCCAGTGTTATGGGTGACCTACTAGCTCTTGATTCAAGGCGTATTGGCAGGTGGCTTCAGCATGCTGTCACTGTTCCAAGCCCGGGAGCCTCATGGACTATACACTGACAGCCAGGGGACCTGCATGGGACTGAACTGGACACTATGAATGTGGGTGACAGTTATATGGGTTGATTAGTTGGGGGCACCAGGACCTGTTCTGGGTGCGTGTACTGGCTTTTTGGAGCCCATTCCCTATGGTGGGAGACCTTGCTCAGCCTTGATACAGGGGCGAGGGACTTGGTCCTGCCTCAAGTTGGTGTGCCAGACTTTATTGATTTCCCCAAGGAAGGCCTTACCTCCCCTGAGGAGTGGATGTGGGGGGATGGTGGGGTATGGGAGAAGGAGAGGGAGGGGCAACTGGGGTTGATGTGTAAAATGAAAAATAAAATTTTTAAAAGATTTATTATTTATTTATTATGAATGCAACATCCTGCCTCCATGTGTCTGTCTGCAAGCCAGAAGGGGACACCGGATCTCCTTGTAGATGGCTGTGAGCCACCATGTGGTTGCTGGGAATTGAACTCAGGACCTCTGGAAGAGCAGTCAGTGCTCTTAACCTCTGAGACATCTCTCCAGCCCCGAAAAAATAAATTTTTTTAATTAAGAAAAAGGGAAATTGACAAAGGCTATTGTGTCAAGGTTGTAGCCAGCTTCCTTGTGTAGGCACTGACTTCCTGCATGGTGTCCTCATCTGTCTTCTGGATGGAAGGTGACTCTATTTAATTCTTGTTTGTTTACCTTGGTACCTAGTTGCTTCATACCCAGTGTATAATGAGCCAAGAGGCTGTTGACACAAGTCTACCCACTCCAGTTTCAAATTCACCTACACTAGCAGGAACAGCCAGGAAAACAAAGCCCAAAATCGCCTGTTGTGCAGTGGTTTGTGTGAAGTCTCTTCATGACGGGGGACCAATGCTACTCACACATGTGCTGTGTGATTTCCACAGCTGTCCATCCGATGTCCTTCAGTAGTGGTGGGCTTCTTCACACCAGTGTTCCCGGTGATGATGCTGTTGGTAAGAGTTCTTTCCTCATCCAGCTTTGACCTAGTGCGAGTTTCCATAAAACTATGCGTCATCAGTAAACTCATAACTGGGGGTAGGGATGTGAGGGTGATCTGACTGCGACACCAGGGTTGATCCGGCTGATCAGGCTGGGTAGGCTGGTGTCCTTTAGCCCTTCTAATGGCCTCACGTGCGTCAGTAGGCAGACATCTCACGTACCCCGCAGCACTGACCACGCCCGTTTGGACGTGGTCATAGGTACGTGGGGGAAGGGCTGAGATAAAGGTCGAGGAAGGAGGGCTCTCACTCTCCCGGCTGCGGTCAAGGTCGGAGACCAGCAGAGCGCTGACCTCAGTTCTCCGCCTGTCATGTAAGTGACTTCTGTCTCTCTAATAAAGTGTCATATGACTCTCCTTCCCGGTGTACTTGGTGTGTGAGTAAAACTGTACCAACTAGGGGACTCTGCAGTTCTGCTTTTTTGTTTTTCCTTTCCTCCCTGGCAATGGCTCTGTTGACAGTCTCCATTCACACTCACACGTGTGTGTACTGTGACTCACTGAATAGCTTCCTGAGTTCCTTTCACTCATCTCTTCCTTCTTACATTAGAGACCCGTGTCCTGGAACTCAGGTCATCCATCTTGATTTATTTCCTAATTTGGACACAAAACATCCTCTCATTGCTTCTTGCAGAGACCACAGCTTTCATGTATGGGTGTCTGTGTGTCTTTCTTTAGGTCTATCACTGGAGCTGTGTAGAACCTAGGACTGACTTATAACTTTTCCTTGGGTGGAAAAGTTGGGTGGAGTGGAAATTAAAGCTGGTGTTCAATTATTTATCTTGTTAGGTAATTGATTCTTTTCACTAACATTTTTAGTGATTAGTCAGTTTTTTTCTTTAGAAGGAACATTTCTCTAGCCATATTATTTATATTAAATAGGCCCTATTTTATTTTATTACGGGAATAAATGGTCTGCTGGTTAAGGATATTAGCACATAGCTTACTAGCGCCACCTTGTGGACTTTCTGAATTTAGCATCATTACCTTTGAATCCGGCAGGAAGTCTTGGGAAACTTGCAAGAACTAGCAGGCATCGTTCGTTACATCCTTGGTGTCTCTGTGAAAAACTTCCCAAGTACAAGAATACCTTGAGAACTAAGCGTGGTGGCACACACCTGCTATACAAGAACTGGGAAGTGGAGTTAGCAGGATCCCAGGTCAAAGTGGGCGGTAGACAGAGACCCTGTCCAGAAACCCCAAACCAACCAGTCAACCAACCAAAGCCATAATCAAAAGAATAAATCATCTCTGCTCCATGGCACCTACACTTACATTTATCTTGTGGTTTAATTTTAGCACCTATCTAATTTTATCTTTCGTTTTGAGGCAACGTCTCTACGTGTAGCTCAGGTTAGCCTGGAACTTGCAACCCACGTGCCCCTAAAGCCCTGCCTCTCGAGTGTTGGGGTGGCAGGCACGCACCGCTGTTTCTAGCCTCATCTAACTTATGAGTGTCAGAAGGTATTACTGTAGAGACGTAACAAGATATCTTAATATATCAGTGTATATGGGGAAGAGTGGGTCCCTTGCTTCTCCACAGCTGCCTTGTATTGTGGCGTGTTCCTGGTTCCTCTGGGGCATCTTACTAGCCCACAGCTGGCCTGCCACAGGGATGAACTTCGAGGGAAACAGCAGATATGATTAGGTGGCTGTGTCTGGTAAAATGCTAAGAGGCTGACAAGTAGCCGCGGCCAAGACAAGTTGCTAGCGAGGAACTCTGCTGTGTGGGTTACTATCTCCGAGTTACACGAGCTACCCCTCTCTCAGTCTTCGTACCAGTCATTTATCCTTTTTCTTTGTTTTATGTGTAAGGTGCTTGGCCTCCACGTGTGCCTGTGTGTCATGTGTGTGCCCGGTGCCTGAACAGGCCAGAAGAGTGTGTGGAAATGCCCCTTGGCAAAGAGTTACAAATGGTTGTGAGCCACCTCATGGATGCTGGAAATCAAACCTTGGCTCTCTGAAGGAGCGATGAGCACTCTTAACCACTGGGCCATCTCTCCAGCTCCAGCCATTTAGTGAGTATCCCTGGCTGTCTTAGAATTCACTATGCAGACCAGGCTGGCCTCAGACTCAGAGATCCAATTGCTTTTGCTCCCAAATGCTGAGATTAAAGGCATGTGCCACCACTGCTTGGCCCCATTTAATTTAAAAAAATTAATCTAAAGACTTCATTCAGAAATTTAAAATGCTTTTCTTTGCGAAAGACTTCAAAAGGATTTTGTTGGTAGCTGCAGAGCCTGCTAAGTCTCAATCCAGCGGACTCCTGAGAGTTCCCACAGTGTCAAATTATTGGGCCATGTGTGAACCACCAGTGCTTGGGCCAAGTGCAAATTGATTAAGGTTTCAGATAGGTTAAACGGGAGCTAAGGCATGCTCCATAACCTAAGTGCCATTTAGTAAGCAGCCTGTGGTCCTCAAAGGGATTTTGTTATCACCTCTCTCTTTTGTTTAAAGGCTGATTTACCAGACAGTTCTGAGTCACGAGTAAGATGGTTGCCTCTGCTCTTGAGTAAAGTAGAACTGGAATATTCCCTCTCCATAGATAGTGCTAAACAGCTTGAAACGTGCATAATTCTTAGTTTTTTATTCCAGGGGCATCTGCTCATGTAAGTGACTAATAAAACAGCAAATAGCACCAGTAGTTATTTCATTTTACTACTTTGTAATTGAAAAATAAATAGGGCATGCGTATAGTAAATTCTTGTAACCAGTTCACGAACACAATTCTACACATTGGTGGTCACAAGCTGTAAGGAGCAAGCTTCCGTCTCAGAAAACTGAAGTGCACGAGGAGTACAGCAGTCATCTGCACACCGTGGACATCAGGTTAGCGTGACAGCAACGATGGTTGCTGTAAGAGCAGCAGCCAGCATGCACAGAACACTGTTCTGACTCATCTCGCTGTTTCAACAACCTAGTGAAAACACTAGGTTTTTTGTTTGTTTGTTTGTTTTTTCGAGACAGGGTTTCTCTGTGTTGCTTTGGAAGCTGTCCTGGAACTCACTCTGTAGACCAGGCTGGCCTCGAACTCACAGAGATCCACCTGCCTCTGCCTCCCGAGTGCTGGGATTAAAGGCGTGCGCCACCAACGCCCGGCTAAACACTACGTTTTTGTTTGTTTGTTTTGTTGTTTTCCAGACAGGGTGTCCCGGAACTTGCTCTGTAAACCAGGCTGGCCTTGAACTCGCAGAGTTAAATTGCATGTCCACTAGAGAGACACTGATCCTGTGCTGTCATCAGGCTGTGACTGCCCTAACTACTCCTAACTGCTCCATACTGTATAAAGCAGAGGTTTTTTTTTTCTCCAGACTGTGCCTACCTTTGAGAGACTCCACTTTACAGGCAGCTGATGAGGCTGATGAGTCCATTTTGAGGGAGAAGGGTGACTGGAGCCCAAGGAACACTTGTAAACCACACTGTCTACGTGGCCCCACCCAGGTCACAGAACGGTGAGTGAGTGACTCATTCCTGGGATACAAAGAGTGTCACACTATGGGGCTGGGGAGATGGCTCAATGGTTAGGGACAGTCGCTGCTCTTGTAAAGGACACTGGTGGTTCGGTTGCCAACACTCTGCATCAGGTAGATCAGCAACTGCTTGAAAAACTGTAGTTCTAGGGTATCCTGTGCCCTCTCTGGCCTCCTGGGATGCCTGCCTGTCCATGGCGCTCATACATACACTCAGACCAATAAAACGTCATAAAAATAAAACATAAAGTAAATCTTACATGAAAGGAGTACTGCACCGTAAATTTATCTCTTGAGACAATAGGGGCATATGGGAGCATTAAAGTCGGATCAGGAAAAGCAAGCCCAAGAATCTGTGAGTCTCAATACACAGAGAAAGGAAGGATAACTTGTAGGTGGAAGTGTCTGTCCCACCAGCAGCTCCCCCAGAAAACACACCAGGATTGCCACAAGCTGGCCAGAAGCTCAAGCTTATTACTAACTAGTGCTCACAACTTAAATTAACCCATTTCTATTAATTAATCTATGTGCTGCTCCAAGGCTCATGGCATTTACCTCTCCAGCATGACTTGCTTACTCTCTGTCTGACGTTACTCTGACTTTGCCCCTCTTCTTCCCATAGTCCTTAGTTTGGCTGCCCCGCCCTGCCTGTACTTCCTGCTTGGCTACTGGCCAGTCAGCTTTTTATTAAACCAATTCGAGTGACAAATCTTTTTTTTTTTCGAGGCAGAGTTTCTTTGCATTGCTTTGGAGGCTGTCCAGGAACTCGCTCTGTAGACCAGGCTGGCCTCGAACTCACAGAGATCCACCTGCCTGTGCCTCCCGAGTGCTGGGATTAAAGGGGTGCACCACCAACGCCCGGCTGAGTGACCAATCTTTACAGTGTACAAGAGGATTACTCCACCCGGATAAGGTCACCTAGATCCCACAGAGGTGAAGGCTTCACAGTGTGATGACCGCCGCCTCCACCATCCTGCCCTCCAACTGCCAAATGCGTGCAGCTGTACGCAGCAAGGATGGACAGACAAGGACCGCTAACCCAAACGGAAGGAGAGAACCGAGTCCCCAAAGTTGCCCTCCACCCCCCACCCACAAGTTGTGGAATGTATCTCCTTCTATCCCCAAACTCATTAACCGGGGACAGGCCATTTTGGAAAGCTCCATTCTGGTTAAAATGTTGACAGTTCCCTGAGACACAGTGAGGAGCATGCCCAGAACTAAAGCGGCTTGTTTTCCTAGACAGAACTTGTTTTCCTGGGGCAGTCAGGAGTCCTTTCGCCTGTCCATCCTTGCTGCGCGCACAGCTAACACTTGGCAGTCAGAGGGCAGGATGGAGGAGGTGAAGCGTTCACCTCTTTGTTTCCACTGCCGACCCCCTCCTACTGACCCCCAAGTTACCGCTGGCCACAAGAATTATCAGTTATCTGACGTTCTTTTACTTGACGCGCGCCATCCCATTTCTAGACAAAAGGAGCTTTCCAGTGCCCCGTTCGGTCCCTTCCATTTTCCCCCTGTAAGTATCCTTGGTCTGTTAAGTAGAAAAGCCAGTTCTTGGTTTCAACGTCTAGAGCGAGCCCCTGCTGCAGCATTTTTTTTTTTTAATGGATTGAACACGTCTCGTTGAAAACACTCATTTTTTTTCCTCTGTCTTTTTTGTTGTTGTGGTTGACCTTTTGTTTGGCGACCTTCTCAGGGAGTCAGGGTGCAGCCTCTGCAATGGGGGGTCCTCCATTCATTTCTCCCCTCATTTTCACATCCAACTCCTCAAGCCCCTCTTCCCTCTCCAGTCACCCACCCGGACGGGGCCCATCTCTCCACTTCTCTCCTTCCACCTACACCCCTGACTCAAACTTGGATGAGTTTTGGGAATTTCCCCCCTCGAAGAACCCTCCCTTCTTGATATCCACTGGGCAGACCCCTCAGGAACCCAGCACCACATGGAGAGCTCCCCTTGAGATAGGGTCACACTGTCAGTAGCTCCCCACTCCAGGGAATTTGCTGGTGTGTCCCCACTGTCTGCTCTATTAGCAAGCAGGGTCCCTCAAGGAGAGAGACACTTTTCCTTCTGCTCCGCCTGCTTTCCCTTCCTTCTTTCTGTTGTACCCAAATTCTGAACCCCCAAAATCACCAAGAGGTCCATTTCGATGCAAAAGCAAAGAGTCTTTTTATTGAAGTTCTTTAATTTAAACACATTAGCTTGGGCCCCTCACTTTGCCACCATGGAGGAAAAGACAAACCAAAAATTGCAAGAAACAATTCAAACAGTGCAAGGTTTGAAAGCTGAAATAGAGACAATAAAAAATAACACAGTCTGAGGGAATGCTGGAATTAGAAAAGATGGGTAAATGATCAGAACTCCAGATGCAAGCATAGCCAACAGAATACAAGAGATGGAAGAGAGAATCTCAGGCACTGAAGATGCACAAGGAGAAAAAGATTCATTGACCAAAGAAAATCTGAAGTCCAACAAATCCCTAACACAAAATATCCAGGAAATAGGGGACACTGTGAAGAGGCCAAACCTAGGAATAATGGGTGTAGAAGAAGGCAAACAAACCCAACTCAAAGGTGCAGAAAACATATCAACAAAAACATAGAAGAAAAATTTCCCAATATAAAGAAAGACATGCCAATGAAAGTACAAGAAGTTTACAGAATACCAAATAGAGTGGACCATAAAAAAGTCCCCTCATCACATAATAATCAAAACACCAAACATACAGAATAAAGAAAGGAAAGGAAAAAGGCCAAGTAAAACATAAAGGCAAACCTATCAGAATAACACTTGACTTCTCCGTGGAAACTCTGAAAACCAGAAGGTCCTGGATAGATACTTTACAAACACTAAGAGACCACAGATGCCAGCCAAGACTACTATATCCAGCAAAGCTTTCATTCACTATAGATGGAGAAAACAAGATATTCCACAACAAAACCAGATTTAAACAATACATATTAAATAATTCAGCCCTACAGAAAATACTGGAAGGAAAACTCCAACTCAAGGAAGTTAACTACACTTACAAAAACACAGGTAATAGATAATCTCACTTTACCAAAAACCAAAAAAAAAAAAAAAAAAAAAAAAAGGCAGGGTAAATCTACACACAATACCACCACCACCACCAAACCCAAAACAAACAAAAATTAACACTCAATGATCCTTAATTTCACTCAATATTAATGGTCTTAATTTGCCTATAAAAAGACACAGGCTAACAAATGGATATGAAGACAGAATCCATCCTTCTGCTGCATACAAGAAACACACCTCAACTTCAAGACAGACATTACTTCAGAGTAAAGGATTGGGATAAAACTTGGCAATCAAATGGACCCAAGAAACAAGCTGGTGTAACTATCGTAATATCTAACAAATTAGACTTCAAATTAAAATCAATCAAAAGAGATGAAAGTCATTTCATATTCATTACAGGAAAAATTCATCAGGATGAAGTCTCAATTCTGAACATCTATGCCTCAAATACAAAGGCACACATGTTCATGAAAGAAACATTACTAAAACTAAAATCACACATAAAACCTCACAGTCTAGTGGGAGACTTTAACACCTCACTGTCGCCACCAGACAAGACCACCAGATAGAAACTTAACAAAGAAACAAAGGAACTAACAGAAGTTATGACCCAGTTGGGTTTAACAGACATCTATACAACATTGTATCCAAACACAAAAAAATATGGAACCTTCTCTAAAATTGACCACATACTCGGGAACATAACAAACTTCAACAGGTAAAAAAAATTGGAATAACTCTCTGTATCTTATCAAACCAGCATACTTTAAAGTTAGAATTCAACAACAACACAAATTGCAGAAAACCTACAAACTCAAGGAAATTGAACAATGCGCAATTGTACCATTTCTGGGTCAAAGAAGAAATAAAAAAAAAGAAATTGAAGACTTCCTGTAATTCAATGAAAATGAAGACACAACAACATACTCAAACTTACAGGATGACACTTTGAAAGCAGTGCTAAGAGGAAAGTTCATAGCACTAAGTGCCCACATGAAGAATTGGAGGATAGTCACACTAGAGAATTAACAGCACAACTGAAAGCTCTAGAACAAAAAGAAACAAACTCACCCCGGAGGAGTAGATGCCAGGAAATAATGACATTGAGGGCTGAAATCAATGAAGTACAAACTAGGAAAACAATACAAAGAATCAATGTAATAAAGAGTTGGTTCTTTGAGAAAATCAACAAGATAGACCTTTACCCAAACTAACCAAAAGGCAGAGAGAGAACATGCAAATTAATAAAATCAGAAATGAAAAGGGGGACATAACAGCAGACACTGAGGAAATCTAGAGACTCTTCAGGTCATACTTTGAAAACCTGTACTCCAGAAAATTAAAAAATTTAAAGGAAGTGGACAAATTTCTGGATAGATATCACTTACTAAAATTAAGTCAAGAAAAGATAAGCAATTTAAACATACCTATAACCCCCAATGAAATAGAAGCAATCATGAAAAGTCTCCCATCCCCCCAAAAAAAACACCACAAAAAATCAAAACAAAAAAGCCCAGGACCAGATGGTTTCAGTGCAGAATTCTACCAGAAATTCAAAGACGATCTAATGTCAATACTCCTCAAAGTATTCCACACAATAGAAGCAGAAGGTTCATTGCCAACCTCTTTTTATGAGGCTACAATTACCTTGGTACCCAAGCCACACAAAGACACAATTAAGAAAGAGAACTACAGATCAATCTCCCTCATGAACACTGATGCAAAAATACTCAATAAAATACTGGCAAATTGAATCCAAAAACACATCAGAGAAATCATCCACCATGATCAAGTAGGCTTCATCCCAGGGATGCAGGGATGGTTCAACATACGAAAATCTATCAATGTAAATCACCATATAAACAAACTGAAAAAGAAAGACCACATGATCATCTCCCTACATGCTGAAAAAGACTTTGACAAAATCCAGCACCCCTTCATGATAAAGGTCTTGGAGAGATCAGGAATAACAAGATTAACTAAAAAGAAAACCAGTAGCCCTACTATATAGAGATGATAAATGGGCTGAGAAAGAAATCAGCGAAACATCGCCTTTTACAATGGCCACAAACAACATAAAATATCTGGAGTAATGCTAACCAAACAACTTTGAGTCTTTAAAGAATGAAATTGAAGAAGATACCACAAAATGGAAAGATCCCCTATACTCTTGGATAGGTAGGATCAACATAGTAAAAATGGCAATCTTGCCAAAAGCAATCTACAGAGTCAATGCAATCCCCATCAAAATACCGGCACAATTCTTCACAGACCTTGAAAGAATAATACTTAACTTTATGTGGAAAAACAAAAGACCCAGGATAGCAAAAACAACTCTGTACAATAATGGAACTTCTGGAGGCATCCCCATCCCTGACTTCAAGCTCTATGTTAGAGCTATAGTCTGAAAACAGCTTGGCATTGGCACAAAAATAGACAGGTAGACCAATGGAATTAATTGTAAACCCTGATATTAACCCACACACCTGATTTTTGACAAGCTAAAAATATACAATGGAAAAAAAGAAAGCATCTTCAACAAATGGTGCTGGCACAACTGGATGCTGGCATGTAGAAGACTACAGATAGATCCATGTCTATCGCCTTGCAGAAAACTTAAGTCCAAATGGATCAAAGACCTCAACATAAATCCAGCCACACTGAAACTCTTTGAAGAGAAAGTAGGAAGTACTCCTGAGTGAATTTGTACAGGAGACTGCTTCCTGAACATAACATCAGTAGCACAGACACTGAGATTGACAATTAATAAATGGGACCTCCTGAAACTGAGAAGCGTCTCTAAGGCAAAAGACACAGTCAACAAGACAAAATGGCAGCCCACAGAATGGGAAAAGATATTTACCAACCCCACATCTGACAGAGGGCTGATTTCCAACATACACAAAGAACTCAAGAAGCTAGATATCAAACTACCAAATAATTCAATTAAAAACAGGGTACAGATCTAAAGAGAGAATTCTCAACAGAACACTCTCAAAAGCACTTAAGGAAATGCTCAACATCCTCAATCATCAGGGAAATGCAGTCAAAACAACCCTGAGGTGCTAACTTGCTCCTGTCAGAATGGCTAAAATAAAAAACACCAATGACAGTTTATGCTGGAGAGGATGTGGAAAAAGGGGAGCACTCCTCCATTGCTGGTGGGAGTGCAAACTCATACAGCCACTTTGGAAATCAGTATGGTGGTTCCTCAGGAAAATCTCCCACAAGATCCAGAAATTCCACTCTTAGGCATATACCCAAAAGATGCACATTCATACAACAAGGACATCTGTTCAACCATGTTCATTGCAGCATTATTTGGAATAGCCAGCACCTGGAAGCAACCTAGATGCCCCTCAACTGAAGAATGGATAAAGAAAATGTGGTACATTTACACAATGGAGTACTACTCAGGGGGAAAAACAATGGAATCTTTAAATTTGCAGGCAAATGAATGGAAGTGGAAGAAACCATCCTGAGTGAGGTAACCCAGTCACAAAAGACAAACATGGCATGTACTCACTCATATATGGATTTCAGACATAGAGCAAAGGATTAAAGGATTACCAGCCTACAATCCAGAGAAGCTAGGAAACAAGGAGGACCCTAAGAGAGTCATACATGGTTCCCTGGAGAAGGGGAAAGGGACAAGAGCTCCTGAACAAATTGAAGGGGGGAAGGGAGTTTGGAGAAAGAGAAGGGGAGGCGGGGAGGGGAGGGGAGAGGAGAACATGAGGGAGCAGGAAGATTGAGTCGGGGGAAGAATAGAGGAGAGCAAGAAAAGAGAAACTTAATAGAGGGAGTCATTATAAGTTTAAAGAGAAATCTGGCACTAGGGAAATGTCTAGAGATCTACGTGGTTGACCCCAACTAACAATCTAAGCAATAATGGAAAGGCTACTTTAAATGCCGGTCCCTGATAATGAGATTGACAACTATTTTGTATGCCATCCTAGAGCCTTCCTCCAGTAGCTGATGGAAGACACCCACAGCTAACACTGAACTGAACTCCTGGAACCCAGTTGCAGAGAGGGAGGAGTGATGGGCAAAGGGGTTAAGATCAGGCTGGAGAAACCCACAGAAACAGTTGACCTTAACAAGGGGAGCTCATGGACTCCAGTCAGACAGCTGGGGAACCAGCATAGGACCGAACCAGACCCCCTGAACGTGGGTATCAGTTGGGAGGCCTGGGCAATCTATGGAGCCTCTGGTAGGGGATCAGTATTTATTTATCCTAGTATACGAATGGATTTTGTGAGCCCACTCCACATAGATGGATACTCTCTCAGCCTAGACACACCAGGGAGGGCCTAGGCTCTGCTCCAAATGATATGACAGACTTTGAAGATCTCCCATGGAAGGCCTCACCCTCCCTGGGGAGCAGAAAGGGATGGGATAGGGGATCAGATGGGGAGTACGGGAAGAGGAGAGGGAGAGGGACCTGGAATTGACATGTAAAACAAGCTTACTTCTAATTTAAATTAAAAAAGGAAAAAATTCTTTTAGAAATGTCTCATCTCTCCCCTTTTCCTAAGAATACATATGTCAATGGCAGATTCATGGGTTTCTCATGTGTAATTCAGTTTATCCAGAAGGAGGCAGCATTTCACTATTAAATTGATGTTTTTGCAGTGGTTCATACTTATTTTCTCTCTTAAAAACTTTCTTTTTTTCTTCCTTCCTTCCTTGTAAATAAAGACAAAGTCTGCTAAATACATATGACCAAAAACCTTCCAGGGGCAAAATTTTAGGACACCATTAGAGCTTTGCGTATTGAGAAAGTAACAAAATCCAAATCTTGCTCAGATTAAATGCAGCTGACATTATGAATGGTGTGTGTGGTAGCTGCATTTATTGCCCCTGACTGTCTTTGAGGCAGAGATACTGATCACTAACTTGTAGTAAATATACATTGGGTCAACAAGAGAGCAACATTTGGGAAACATTAATTCGATTCCCTAAGAAATAAGAATATTAACTAGTAGGTCAGCAAATCCAACTTCCTGTTTCCTGTTCTTACAGACTCACAGACTCTTTTGAGTTAACCTAGAAGCTACACATGGTGCTGCTTGTCAGTGGCCAACGGTCAAATCATTTTATCCATTAAGGGAAATGCCAGTCCAATTGAGGCGGGATCTTAGTGTGTAACCCTGGCTGCCCTGACACTCTCTATATAGACCAAGCTGTCTTTAAGTTTGTGTGAGTCCTTCTGCCTCGGCCTTCCAGGTGCTGGGGTTACAGATGTACTCCACCACACCTGGCCCTGTCTGCTTTCAAACACTTAGAAGAAGGAGACATAAGTATAATTGTATGAAGCGGCTGGGATAGGGGCTCAGTGGATTAGGCTCCTGCTGCAGAAGCATGAGGACTGGAGGTCTGGATCCCCAGAAACCATGTGAAAATCTAGGTGGGTGTGGCTCCCTGCAATCCCAGCAGCACACAGGAGGCAGAGACCAATTGGCTAGTCAGACATGCTAAAATGGTGAGCTCTGATGCAGTGAGGGACATGAAGACATCTACCTTTGAGCAGTTACATGTATGTGCAAACATGTATACTTGCACACACACATCCCCACACATAGGAACACACACACACACACAATTGCAAGATGATGGCACGAGAGAAATTTTCTGTCACCTTGCATTCGACACAAAACTAGTACTAAAAATGGTAACTGAATGTTGATACATGCTCCGTAGGAGGAGTCTGGAGGAAGGTGGGGTGGAGGTTTCTTCCCTCCTGGAATGGGGCTGCTTGCAATCTTGTGGGTCCCACTGTGACAGCCCTGAGGACCCGCTCTGCTTGTCTCCTGTTTGGCAGCGGACTGTAGTCACAAATTTCCTATTCTTTCATTTTAGGCGTGTGGTTATTTAAGGCCTACAAGTTAGTAAGAAACAGAAGATGAAAGCTGAAGAGAGATGGACCAGAGAGAAAGATTGTTGTGGGACAGTTGGCTTGCCTGCCCAGACAACAAGGTCTGTTTCTAGTATTCTGCGATACAGTTTAGGAAAAGTTAAAGCACTTCCAAGTATGAGAATTACCCAAAATGCAACACTCCAGGGGGTGAGCTAGAACTGGCTGAAGGCAGAACATGGGGTGGGAGAGAGAGAGAGAGAGAGAGAGAGAGAGAGAGAGAGAGAGAGAGAGAGAGAGAGAGAGAGAGGTTCAAAACACAGCTTTGAGAATCCTTTGGCTCACAATTACTTTTTTAAAGATTTATTTACACTTAATAAAATTATTTGTATACAGCTCTCTTCTCCCGTATGTGTGTAACTATACCATGCGCACTCCTGGTGCCCCCAGAGACCTAGATCTGGCATAACATATGGTCATCCACTCCTATGTGGGTTATGGGAACTGAACCTGGACTGTCCAGGAGCAGCAAGTACCCTTAACCACTTCAGCTACCTGTAACCTCTTACATGAATCAAGGCAAGGATTGAAACCAGAGTCTTCCTGTGGTTTGGGAGGCACAGGGGTGGGGTGGGGTTGGGGGGAGATAAGTCTCCCTTCCACATTTGCAACCTGCCAGGTCATTTTGGAAGCTGAAGAAGAGACAGATGCCAAGGACTGTCAGGGTCAGCCTGGGCTAAAGTGAGACAAAGACCCCTGAGACCATCCCCCCCCAGCTTTTTCCTAAAGGAACTTAGCACTATGTCACCAGCAGAGTGCTACCGAGTGAACAGGGGACATCTCTAATAGTGCTAGGATCAATTACTTCCCCTCTTAGTCACCTCATCTGAGATATGTAACCCCTTCCATATCTAACAGCCCTTATCTCTGAAGAAAAAGAGAAGAGCCTTAGAGGGAATTTCGACTGTGATTTGGCTGTGTTTATGTCTGGAAGTGGGTGTTTAAATAAAATGAATTAACATTTTTTTTAAAGAGACAAGGTATTGTTATACAGTCTAGGCTGGCCTAGAACTTAAGATCTTCTTGCCCCAGTCTCCCGGGTGCTGGGTTTTCATGTGTGCGCCACCTTGCCTGGCGCTGATTGACTCCTAACTGGGGAGTTTATTCTTCTCTTAACCCATTGGGTCCCGCCACCTCCAAAGGCAGGAACGGGAGGTTGCATGGGAATTTGTATCGTTTATAGAAATGCATGCCGCTACTGTTTTGGCTGGGGTTATCGTGGCTGCGATAAAACACCACTGCCAAAGCAGCTTGGGAAGGGAAGGGTTTATTTGACTTCACGCTTCCACATCACTGAAGAAAGGACAGGAACTCAAACGGGGCTGGAAGCAGGAGGCAGGAGCCGATGGAGAGGCCATGGAGGAGTGCTGCTTACAAGGCTTGCTCCTCATGGCTTGCCTAGCCGGCTTTCTTAGAGATCACTGGCCCAGGGGTGGTATTATCCACAACAGGCTGGGCCTTCTCCTGTCAATCACTAATCAAGAAAATTCCCTACAGGCCTGCCTATAGCCAGATCTTCCAGCACAGTTACCATCCTTTTTGTGTACCCGAGTTACAGCGTATCATAAAATCTTATCACACTATCCCCCATCTCCGTCTCCTGATAGTGCCTGTGTGGGAAGAGAAGGAGGCTGCAAGTGCGTGTTTGAATGGGCAGAGGGAAGCAGGGAGAAGACTGAGGACCCACGGGGGAGGAGCAGCTCGCTTGGAGCCTTGAATGGGCAGAGGGAAGCAGGGAGAAGACTGAGGACCCACTGGGGAGGAGCAGCTCGCTTGGAGCCTTGTCTTTGGAAGCACCAGTGGAGTTAGGAGACATCCCAGAAAGTCTCCTGCTCCGGGATGTGCCAGGAGACACCCTCCTGAGGTCCTCAGGAGCCCTTCTGCTAGGGAGTGAGTCCGTTCCTCTGCCACCCCTTCGGGATTACTTTCTCATTTTCATTCTGTCCTGGAGCTGGCTTCAAGTAGTCACACTTGCCACGCTCCCGCCACCCGGGCTACACTTTCGCAGATTCCCCATTATTTCTGAAGTCTGTGTTTTGAGTCTAGTATCTTGTGTTGAAACTCCTGCCATCCCTTCCTGCTGGTCCCACTGGAGAACAGTTTGTCCCTGACTACTCAACAGCTATTGTAAATTGAAATTTACTATGAATCACCCTCTAGAGTTTTGGGTTTTTGTGTTTTTTTTTCTTTCTAGATGGGATAGCACCAGTGTTCCACGGTTGTTTAAACTCCAAAAGATTCAATCAGCTGTGCCTTGGGTACAGTGTAGTTACACCCTGTTATGGTTGTGCCTACCCTGAACATGTGTAGACTTTTCTTCATCATTATTCTCTAAAGAATATGGTATAATGAATGCCTTATATTGCATTAGGTATTAGAAGGAATCTGAGGGTGATTTAAAGAAGGCAGGAGGTGTGTAAACTCCTCTGTTTAAACACTACAGCATTTTATGTCCAGAGCTTGAGAATCTGTGGTCTCTGGACTCCACAGGGGTCCTGGAACCAATCCCCGTGGTTACACTGGAATGGCTGTGTTTAGAAGTTTGGTTTATTAAAATGTTTAGTGTGCGTATTTACTTAAAATGAGAGAACTTTGAGTCTATCATAAATGTCTATTTTGGTTGATTTCTTGCCTAATGAGGCATAATATAAAAAAATGCTGAACATTCCATTCAACCATGTGGGACAAACTAGGAATTCTGAAGGGTTGAATTTCAGAACTAAGCAATGAAAAAATGTCATATAATTATGGAAAGTAGGAAATGGTAAGTTTATAACTTTCTGGGAAAATTCTTTATCTGTGTAAAAGAGATGGGGAGACAGTTGCAGAATTTCTAACATATATGGCCTCTTGATTCAAGTTCTGTAGTTTACTCACAGATTTGAAAATAGTGTTTCTTTGTAATCTACTTGAGTCTATTTTGTTTTTTTTGAGACAATATGTCACCTTGTAGTCAAGCCGATCTGGAATTCCCTATGTAGTCAAGGCTGGCCTCAACTTGACAAAATTCCTGCTTTAGCTTCCTAAGTGAAGGATGATGCCTGCTAAGCCTGACTTAGAAGTGGTGTCTCTTTCTCTTACTCTTTTTTTTTCTCTTAAGAGAGTGTGTGTGTGTGTGTGTGTGTGTGTGTGTGTGTGTGTGTGTCCGTCCACAGTGCCTGTGGAAGCAGATGTCAAAGAACAACCTTTGGGAGTTGGTTCTCTTCTTCTACCATGTAGAATTCGGGTCATCAGGCATGGCTGCAAGTGCCTTTACCTACCTATTCATCTTGCTAGCCTCCACCACTTTCCAAGTGGTGGGTTTATTTATTTTTATTATTGTGCGTATGAGTGTTTTGCCTACATGTATGTATATTCACCATGTGCACTCCTGTTGCCTGAAGATGCCAGAAGAGGGGTCAGACCCCCCGGGAGTAGAGGTGCAAGCAGTTCTAAGTCATCGAGTGGGTGCTGGTAACTGAACTCAGGTCCTCTGGGAGAGCAGACCTGCTGTTACCTGCAGAGCCATCTTTCTAGTCCCTGGGGGAGTTACCTCTTGAGGGCATTTTTTCTTCCTTTTTTTTTCTCCCCTAAAGATTTAATTTTTATTTATGTGTATGTTTATGTCAGTGTATGTGCACCTCCAAGAGCCTGTAGAGGCCAGGAGAGGGCACTGGGTCCCCTGGAGCTGGAGTTACAAGTAGTTGTAAGCCACTGGGTGTGGGTGCTAAGAACAAAACTCTGGTCCTTTGTAAGTGTAGAAAGTGACCTTCACTGCCGTGCTGTCTCTCTAGCCCCCATTTATTTAAAAGGGCATCCTTCATAGTCAAAGTTCCTGGAGATAGGTCCTATGGAAATTAAAAAATACTGTTAAATACTTCAGCATTAATGATCTTAGAAACACAGTTATAAATATAGTTTTAGAGGCCATGTTTACATTTTTTTTTGGAGCAAGGTCAAGTGAAGTATCAAAGTACATTGTGATTGTATTTGTGGATCTGGGAATCTTCCAGGGTCTGCTGGTTAAATACTCTATTCTCAAGTTGTATACCTAACTCTGCTTTTGATTTTGTTTTCTTAAGTTGATTGGGCTGGCTTTGAGTATACTCACTAGCCAAAGCAGGCTTTGCACTCAAAAGCCTCCTGCCCTCCTTATAGATCTGGCTCTTCAAGTACCTTAGTTTGATTTCGACTCAATTAACAGGAAAGCAAACTTATGCTTAAGAATATATTTTATGGTCAAAGAAATGGAAATTTTGAAGTAATTACTTAGAAATTAAAAAATGTATGAAAGGGGCTGGAGAGATGGCTCAGAGGTTAAGAGCACTGGCTGCTCTTCCAGAGGTCCTGAGTTCAATTCCCAGCAACCATATTGTGGCTCACAACCATCTACAACGAGATCTGGTGCCCTCCTCTGGCCTACATGAAGTGCTGTATACATAATAAATACAATCTTTAAAAAAATGTATGAAATATTTATTCATTTAGAGTTAAAAGATATTTTGTGTTAAATCTTTAGCAAGTTGACTTCGTTCTCTTTATGAAGAATTAACCTTGATATGTACTCACTCATATATGGATATTAGACATAGAGCAAAGTACTACAAGCCTACAATCCACACGACCAGAGAAACTAGGGAATAAGGAGGACCCCAAGAGAAAAACACACGATTTCCCAAAGAAGGGGAAAGGGACAAGAACCTCTGAGCAAATTAGGAGCCAAAAAGGGGGGGGGGAAGAGGGAGGTAGGAAAAAGAGAAGGGGAGAAGAGGAGGGGGGAGGAGAACAAGAGGGATCAGGAGGACTGAGACAGGGGAGGAATAGAGGAGGACAAGAAAAGAGATACCTTAATAGAGGGAGCCAGTATAAGTTTAAAGAGAAATCTGGCACCAGGGAAATGTTCAGGGATCCACAGGAATGATCCCAACTAAGAATCTAGGCAGTAGTGGAGAGGCTGCCTTCGATGCCCTGCCTCTATAATGAGGTTGATGACTACCTTGGTTGCCATCCTAGAGCCTTCATCCAGTAGCTGATGGAAGCAGAGGCAGTCACCCACAGCTAAACACTGAGTTATACTCCTGGAATCCAGTTGCAGAGAGGGAGGAGGGATGAGTAAAGGAGACAAGACCGTGCTGGAGAAACCCACAGAAACAGTTGACCTGACCTAGAGAGAGCACAGAGACCCTAGCCGTAAAGCTGGGGAACCAGCATTGGACC